GGCTGGAGGGTGGTGATGCAATTCTGGCTTCAGATTTGGATTCAGCATGTCTACGTACATAAAGAAAAGTGTCAAGTCATTGGGTCTGACAACAATCCCCGAGAACAAAAAAAAATACAATTTCATGATGGTTGTTGTGATTTAAACAAGTTGGAAGGTGGTGGCGCACTTCAGGCTTCAGATTTGGATTCAGTGCAACGACATTCATAAAGAAACATGTTTCCAGTCTGTGGATCTGACAACAACCCTCAGAACAAAAAAAATTCTAAGATGGTGGCGCAATTCTGGCTTTAGATTTGGATTCAGAGTGTCGACATATATCAAGAAATTAAGTCATTGGATCTGACAATTTCCTTTCTTTTTGTGTGCCTATGTTATCATCCATTTTAATGTGTAACAAAAATAACATTAATACAAATTAATTTTACTCTGATATAATTTATTTCTCTTCTTCTTGTAAATCCGTGGATATCCACAATATTCTGAATATTGGGGCTTAATTTATTCTTCAGTTTGGAGACTAACATAATGTCCTTTTTCATAAACTGATTTTAAAGTTTCCTGCTGCATAGATCTTAGAACCACCAACGCTTTGTGACCATCAAAAAATTTGGACAGCAATTAGTCTTACAGTAGAAAGTCTTCATAAGGCTTCTCTTTCGAAATGTTCTTGATTGGGTCGATGTCCTTCATCCTTATCTTGAGCATTCTTCATTCTAGCAGTCCGAAGAATAGCAAGGTGCATCTGCAGGTCTTATCTTTCTTTTGTCTGTTGTTGTTGTTGTTTTTGCCAAAAATTCATTCTTTTCTGGTGCACAATTACACAACTTTCTCTTCCCATGATCGATCACCCCACTTAAGGGCATGAAAGTAAATTCAGCATAAAATCTACAAAATGACTCGAACATGACTGTTATAATCTGTTTTCAACATTACGAACTCAAACTTCAAATGTTCAGATATCCAGTTATAAAAATTATTTTTCTTATAATATTAGTATGTTCTCGCACCGTTTAAAAAGAACTACCAAACACAATCTAATCTCATGCAATATGCACCTTGAAGATTCTATCTACAAACATCCAAATGATGTCGTCCGGCTTTTTGCTGATTATTTTATATCTCAATACTCTAACCACACTGTCTATTCCTTAACTTCTTTCTAAATAGAGCTATTGAAGTTCCTTACGTTGATATACTTCAACTTCAATTGATTGATAATTTTTATAGTTTGGTTCTCTCAACCCAAGAAAAGGTCGAGGACCAAGGGGCCATTTTAACAGCTTTGAGGGCCCTTGAGCCCAAGCAAATTTGGGAGTCTCCAATTCTTTCTTTCCCCCCCCCCCCCCCATTTTAATATTTGTTAAACAAACTTAACTTCTCATCACAGAGCGACATTCTTGTATCAACCAGCAACATTCTGTATTATAAATATTATCCAATGATGCATGACACATCACTCCGTTATGGTAATTTTTTGGATTTAGTTTAATCATGTATCACTTTTTACACTTTATTTTTTTTTAATATTATATCATTTTTTTAAAACAACTATTGGGACCGTCTCACATTGGGGGCCCTGAGCCCAGGCCCTTCAGGCTCATGCGTTAACATGGGTCTGCCAGGACCAGACCTAACTTGGACCTAAATATCTAACTTGTTTCTGATACAGTGAAGGTATGCTATAGCAATCCTTTGCTCTTCTATCAATCATTCAAAAGCGGTACATTTCCCGAATTGGAAAATCAGCAAGATTATTCCAGTGCTCAAAAAAGGTGACAAATCTAACATCGTCAACTATCGTTCTATATCAATACATACTGTACTACCAAAACTTTTTGAAAAACTTGTAACATCTCATATTACATACCCTTTTTCTCAATTTCTTTCTGATCTCCAAAATGACTTCACAATCATACAACTTTTTAACTCCTTAGCTGGATCTATCTTAAAATATGCAACAGTTGTCTAGTGCCCCTATAATAAACTAGTGGTGTCAAAACAATATGCTCTTGGTTTCTCGCCATTAGTAATGGTTATGGAATATTATTTACACAACAATTGCTCTCCGAATTAACACAGTCAGTCTCAGTCATCATTTTTTGTAAAACTCATTTGAAATTTTAGAACATGTGGTGCAAAAAATAAGCAGCATGCGAGAAATTGAAATAATTAAGAGTTAATAAACAATACGATACTGATAGCATTGACAAATAGATAGAAAAATATACATAGTAATTATTAAACACTGTGGTATAGATCTATTCGTTTTCACCTTTCACACAATTTAAAATGAAATATGATAATAGAAATAAAATCATATAAAATGAAATAATAGACAAATTCTAACTTACATAGCATTCAACTGCGTAAATTGTGAGCGAGCGACTAAAGGCTAGTAATCTTTATTTTAAATAGGTTTGAAATAATTGCTAAAGATTAATTTGTAAATGTATAACAAAATCTCCAATATAAGAAATGAACAAGGAAATACGAAATAATATACAGGATTTTCATAGCAGGCGACTAACTTTGACACTCAATTACTAAAAAAAACTCATATTTTAAAAAAAAATTCAACGTGACCTTATTTGAAGAATTGTTTTTGATGAACACATTTCATTAAGAAAAAGAATTGTATCTTTATAATTGTATTTGTAGTAAGACACCGAAATTTTTTCTTCAAATTCTGAAAAATCAATTTCCAACCAACATGAGACCTGCACCATTCTCATAATCGTCTTTTAGACTATCCAACCACAAAATTTAATCAAAATCCCCCAAACTGAAAATATCAGTTTCAAATCCAAGTGGATGCGACATCAGCCAGATTGATTGGGGAATATCAATTTCGGAGAAAATCAGTTGAACGGTTTAGCCGCTAGCTTTGTTCACAGATGTCCGAACAGGCGTTCTGCTGTCATTCGATTTTTTGGTATGAAGGCCCCAAACACTCCCCTCAAAGAAATAATCGCTGTGACAGCCTTCTTTTTCCTTTTGATAACTTCTACTTCCCTTTTCAGGGTACACTCCCACACAAACATTTCTTTACTGTCAGATATATTATCACAGATTACATCATGATGCATTACTTAGGATAAGAGGAAGGCAATGGGAATAGCATTGGAGCAAAGTACTTTCATTCAATGACCAAATATTTAATGAGCCTCACCTTCCTCTACATCTGATGCTGAAAATTCAGAAGCATTCAAGTGCTCAATTTCATTGCACAGGCTGTCTATGAGATGAGTGTTAAAGTTTGCATGATTACCATGGACAACGAAATCTTTATAAAATTCCTGTTGTCCAGGAAACTCTGAGACAGCACCTAAATTTGAAGTCTTCACAGGAGTCACTAATCTTTCATACAGTCTAGAATACTTATCAGGATTGCCTTCTTTCAAACATTTGAGAACTTCAGACAATGAACTACTTGATTCTTCTTCCTAAAATGAGAAAAATTTTCAAGTATTCAAAATATATTTGAACATTTGAGTGATGAAGAATCGCTAAAGGAATTCCAATTATTCCCATTAGCTTCCAAAATGTTTTAGCAGAAACTGAATAACATACACAAAACATGACTGCAAAGAATCATTCTATAAACAACCAAAATTGTAATCATCTTTATAGATGTTTTTAATTATTAGATTTGCATCTATCATTATGAAATTATAATGATGTCAAATCTTGACAATACATCAGCATACTACATTATACCACCAAAAGCAGATAATCCAATAAAATGTTGGTAAAAAGAAAATCAATCACAATCATATTCCCAACATATTCCCAACATTATGTCAAATTCAAGAACTGATGGCTGAAAAAGAAAAAACATCATGAACAAATTAACCCTCCGCATACCAAGCAGGGTACATGTGTACCCCAATCTCACTTTCTTCTTGTTGAGCTCATTACGAAATATTGAAATTTTGCTACATTGCCTGAAATACTTCAATCGACAATGATGTATCAAAGAATGTAATTGTTTTACGATGTTTTATGTGTAAACTAACTAAAAAGAAGCACAGGGTGCATTTATCTTACCTTGCTTGGAATTCTGAAGCAGCAATTTTTATTCCAACTATTTTTATTGAACATTACTTAGATTAGCATGCCAATCTCTTCATTCAAATGAAAGTGGCATTATTGAAACACCTGCAAGTTTCCAGTAGTGCATTTGCACGTCAATCTATCTTTACTAATGAATGAATGTGCGCGGCGGCATGGTGATGGTGCAACGGTTAGCTTATCAGACTGTTGTACCCAAGTTGGCAGATTCAAACCCGATCGAAGCCGTAGATTTTTAAGGGCGAAAAAATCCTTCATATGCCTTCCTTCGGAGGGGAAGTAAAGCCGGCTGTCCCATGTTAGTAGATTTACTTGCATGTAAAAGATCCTAAAGCTAAATTAAAATCGCCCATTTCTCGCCTAAGAAATACCTCCTTTCTCTGCTAGTTGGTGAAAGGAGCGTAGCAAAATTTGTGTGGTCAGACGGAAGAGCAGGCCTCATGGCCTGAGTTTCGCCACGTAAAATAAGGCAATAATTCAATTCAATTCAATGTTCCTAATTTGTGAATATTTGCATTCCAAAGAACAATGTGGAGGCAACTTATAACAGATAAAATGTAAAAAGAAACAATTTATACTGGACCTGCAGCAAGAACTTAACGCATCTTAATTTGAAGAGAGATTGTAAAAACAAAAAGTATACTGAGAACACTACATAGACTGCAATGAAATGGTTGCTCGGAGAGGAAGCGGTAAGCTCTGCTTTTCCTGAATGTTCTTCCTCAGCCTAAGTTCGAAGATGCATGCTGTGCGCAAGAAACAGAACGAGTAGGACAAGACGTTGTAAGTGCTTGTCTTGTATGTGTAATACACTATAACAATTAAAGTATGCATCAACACCCTAAAGCAGGAATGATCGTAAAAGAGATATTCTGATGAAGTTCATGGTCTACTAAACAAGACACATAGTAATAAAAATTGATCAGTTCAATTTAATTTCTTTTATTACATATTAACTGGTCAAAATATTCACAAATGAATTAGTTATATCCTATCTGAGCAATCTTTCATAATATTTGTGTGGGGTACATGTGTCCCCCACTCTGCATTCCATGTGACATTTAAAGCTTGGTATACAGAGGGTTAAGATGAGGAAGATATCCTATTAAAAAACAACAATAACGATGAATTACATATTCTGCACACTGCATTGTTACATTTATGAATATTTTTCACAGTGATAGACAATTTTAATACTATTCATGCTGAACATGCAATATCTGAATTTGCAACTTACAATCGCTGCATTACTGGACTTCCAATAGGAGCCAAGAAGCTGGGTTCTAAAAAGTCGAGCAAAGTGAATAAAATTTGCTGGCTCATCATTCATAGATAGGAGGTTCCGCACACGTGCTCCAAGAGCAACTCCAAAAGACCACCCAGGTGAACTGTGGTTTTCCTCCCATATGCCTATTATTTCATAAAATGCATCTCGCTGCTTCCGAAATGTAACAAATGTTCTATCACTTGGAAAATTTTCACGATTATCAGTGTCAGATTGAAAACATACACTAGTGTGAAAGACAGACGAACCAATGAATCTTCTACTATCACTGCGACGTTGATGTAAATCACTTAAATACTGCCACAAGTCAGGTACAAATAATGAAATACGTTTATTATTTAACAGCTGTTTCAAAGAAGCTTTGTCAAGAGTACTTAAAAAGAATCTCTGTTCATTCAATACAGTAGTTGCAAAAAAAACACATTCATGTACAGATATGAAATATCCTAAAGATGTGGATTCTTTTAACTCAGAGCTACTCACATCCTCCTGGACATTTAAAAGAGAAAATATGAAATGGAATTCTGTTACAATGTTACAAATCAAATTAGTATCTAATAAAAGGTTGTACATTTTTGCTAGTATAGACAATTCTTTTTTGAACTTGACAGTGTCTGGGGAGGGATTTACTATCATTGTTGGCTGTGAATTTGTGGTAGTCACAACACTGTTCCAAACATTTTGTTGCAACTTCTGCTTTTCAAGACGCAATAAATCACGAAAGTCTGTTTCGGGACTTTCTTTTCTTTCTTTTATTGTGACATCTTCCCTAAATGGTGTACTTGGCTCCAAGGGTCTCACCACTTCACCAAAATTAGGAGCTGAAACAGACGAACAGTGGAATGAGAAGGTGAGGAACAGAAAACTGAAAATGTCTTCACAGTATTTCTTTTTTAAGGTCATTGCACAATTAAAATTTTTAATTTCCCAAATTTTCTCATTTCTTGGTAATTTCCATTTTAAAGTATAATTTTATAGACAACTATTATAACTTTATTTGAGAACATTTTTATAAGTAAAATTTGTTATATTCCAGAAATTATAAAAAAAAAAAAAAAAAATTCTAGCGTTTTTTGTAAAATTGATTTTTTATATAAAAAAAATATTTTTTCAAAAAATTACCCATTTCAAGCCAAATTTTCTGAAAAATTATAAATGACTTTATATAAAGATTTAACTTTGCAGAACAGATTTCATTTAGAAAAAAAGTCCAACTTTAATACTGTAGTAATAGGAAGACACCAAAAAATATTTTGAATTTTCGAAAGTTTCAAAAATTCAGTAAATTCAACAAAAAATGGAAACACACCATTTGTTTTTTTGAAAGTTGAGTGACTTCTTTTTTGGAGTTTTAATGTGAAGTATCCCCAAAAATCAAAATGTTTCCAATTGAATAGACAGTATATAAACCTCATTGATAGACAATATCATTTTTGGTAATAATCCTGCCTAAAAGTTTACCCATTAGCTTTGTTACCAGATGACAGAGACATTTTGCTCTACACCAATTTTTCAGCAACTGGACCCACAAAACATGGATTTTGACTAGACAACGTCTTAGAGAAAGTAATTTACTATGCATGTTCAATTAGTACCCATTTGAATGCCACATACTTGTAAGTGGTATTAAAGTAGTAGTAAGTATTAAAGTATTTAAAAAGCACAAGTTTTTTAAAGATAAAAGTATTTATTATATACCTCTATTCTGATCCAATGACGTCCCTTTCTCAAAAGAATCAGCAAGTCTTGTTGGCTTAATTCTACGTCTTCGGGATGAATTTGGCTTTGCTGGAGATCCCACTGCTGGGAAAGAGTGTTCTGCAATGCTGAAGGACGTATTACTTGGAGAGCTTGTTGTTCTTTCAAGAGAGACTCTCTTACCAGAACCACTTCTACAATCTCTGCGAATCAGCCTGTGGTCGGGAGAATCAATTTCACTCACACGCCCAGAATATTTCTCTTTTGTAGCTGAATATAATTCAGCTGCAATTGGTGATAAATGACAACTATTTAAAAACGTAGACTCCATATTCTTTTCAGTCTTATGCATTACAGAATGAACCACATTTGCTTTAATTTTGTTTGCATAATTTAGATGGTCAGTACCCAGTTTGGCTGTTCCATTTAAAAGACTATAACATTTTACAAAATGTTTATTATTACCATCCACAGACTTATTGAAAACAGAGTTATCTTCTTTAGTTTTAGTATTATTTAAGAGAGAACTTTTATTTAAACTTCCACATCCAGGAGAAATGTTGATGGACTGCTTTGAGGAATTGTTAAAATGTTCACTGGGTGGTCTAGCCAAACATTCACTCCTTCCATTGTACACCACTTTTTTTTTGGCATTAAGAGTTGGAAAACTAGAATTTTTCTTGAGAGTGTAATTAACCTCGGACGCTTTTTGTAGAATACTGTCAAAAAAATGATAAAACAAAAAAATATAAATAAAACTATAACTCTCTTCCAGAAAATGCTGAGTTAAACAAATACAAAAAGAAACAAAATCCAATTAAAAAATAATTCAAAACTTACAATAATTGTCATGAATTGAGCTTTCAAGATAAGTAATTATTTTATTGAAGAGGGAAAGTGCTTATCAGAATTAAAAAATACAAAATTATGTTTAACAATCAATAACAATGTAATATTAAATTAGTAGACAAAATGAACATGAAAACTTAATTCACCACAAACAGTTCGCAAATCCAAAATAAACTACTAGTAAACAATATATTATTTGTAATGATATAATTTTATAACACTAGCTGGATTTGTACAAAATTTTCACTTTTGATATCTATTGTATGTTTTTGTGGACAACTTCAATTGGGGTTTGCCCCACTATCTCAAATAGTTACTGTAGCATATGTTCATAAAATAAACAAGAATTGAACCAATCTGGTATTAGAATTTGACAACAATCATTATTCCACTGTTTTTTTTTAAAACATTTCAGAAGTCCAGATATTCATTAAAAAAACTGATCTTTAGTTTGTGAAACTTCGGCCAAAGGGGTTATTAAAAATTATTTAAAAAAATATATATTTAAGAATGCTGAGGTGAACAGAGATGATACAATAGATTTCATTATATTGCTTTTGCTGGGGGATATAGGAAATCTTTATTGTTATGGTCTTAGGATGTATATTAGCTTTCCTGTTAAATTAAAAAAAAGATAAAAAGGTTTGGGATAAAGGTTAAAAAAAAAATAAATAAAAAAAAAAAATGAAAAAAGTTGGGTGTTTAATTGAAATGAATAATGTTGGAATATTTTTTTGTTTATATAATATTTGTTGAATAAATAAGGAGTATGATATTATCCTAGAGTTCACTGATGTAAACCATTGTTGACAAAATCCTCTAGTAGCAGATAATACAGGCTTCCAATGTAAACATTGCACAGGGAGCCATGCTGTTCTGTTTGAACACTAACTCAGTGAGGTTCAACATGTCCAATGTAAAGTGTTCCAAGAGAATGCATCTCTAAGATTTTGATCGCAATTTAAGAGATAAGTTTTTTAGTACTGACAGAGAAATAGAGGTTTTACTTTACAGTGCTATGTATTTTTTTAGACAGGTGCAGACCTTTTATAAATAAGTGCTGGTTAGTTTCAAAGACTGCAAAAGTAAGTATGTACTAATAATTTGTTCTCAAATGAATTGTTTATATTTTTTTTTAAATCCACAAGAAGTTTTTGAAAGATATATTTTTATTTTTTAAGGTCATAAATGCTTGTATATTTTGTTGATACTTAGATCACTAAAATCCAGGCCTCTTTAATCAGGAAATATCCATTTTGGGGAAAATCCTGTGTAAGATTTAGACACTAATCTTGTTCACAGCCAGCCAGAAGAAAGAAAGAATACACTTGCAACAAAATTTTAATTATAAGCACATAAATGTGCAGTAATAGCAATTCATTAATGGAAAAATCACATGAGAAAAAAGTTGTATTCTTCATCACAAAGGAATGTGATCTTCAGTTTTATAAAGTAACCTTCATTGTTGGCACATTAGGCAGTAACTTTTTATAGACTCCATAATACACCGCTCACTAATATCCACACTCAACTCATATTATTTGTATGTTACAAAATTATATAATGTTCAAACATTAAGATAAATAAGAAATTGTCTGATGTAAAGTGTTACCAGAGCTATTGAGCTCACTAATATTCACTCTCTACATTCAGCACATTAAAGTTTATCTAAAATTTTTCTAAATGCCTGGGACTATTTGCAGTTTTGACGCACTTACTGATTTAGCGGTAAAAACTAGAGGAAAATGCACCAAGACCAAGAATTGCTCCTGAGTATTTGACCTACATACTAATTTGACAAGTATCAGTTTAAAAACCTACAATGACAACGGGCTAGTAAATTACTTCATTAATGTACTAGACATGTTAATTTACATAAAGTATATCATTCAGTTACAAAAATATCATAAAATACCTGGACACTTCATCCCGAAGAAGATTTACAAAATATATTACAAAGTCTCCCTGATTACAGTCAACTTTAAAACGGATTTCTTGAGTCTGAAACATAAAACATTAATATCCATTACATTTATTCTCCACACACAATTGGGGAAGGAACAAGCAACAAGAGAAAAAAAAACAATGTTTTAAACCAAAGTAATTAATTTTAATGTTCATAAACTTATTATTATCTGACAAAAACATTACACATAGTAAATACATGATTAATACAAATACAAACAACGGAAGTACTGATCTCAACTTGAATGAAAAATCTCCCATAGTCAGAGACAGAACAAGAATCCAATGATGTTCAACCTTTGAAGACTATGTCACTTATCAAATCAAACCGAAATAATCACAAAAGTTATCACCTCTTCATGGCTTGGTGTCAACCAGTAAACAAAGTCATGCCAGGAAATACTCCCAGAAATAACCTCGTTTAAAAGTTTATTCGCCATAGTTCAACAAATCATTTCATGTTTCTGATTCCATGATAAATCCCAGAACTGACAATAGCTTAAAAGACATATATGTAAGGAAATTTTCGAATCCATGTCATGCTTGATGTTTATAATTTCGCCACCATACGTCAGCACAAGATCAGCATCATGCACAGCACGCGCCACAAAATCATATACTCTCTGTACAAAATTACAGAGTATTCCATGGAACTCGTACACATCAAACTCCCGACCAAAGAAATTCTATTTTTCATTGGAGTTGGCATTGTAGATGTAGAACAAGATGTTTTCCATTTTGTCAACCACTGTGTAAGTTTTCGTTTTCGAAATAGTGTTCAAAAGCTGAATAATCTGAACCGAGTGTGAAGAGTAATATCTGTAATTAAGTAATATCTGTAGATTTTCCTAGAATGACGTCACAAGTTTGGCGGGAAAGCTTTGGGTGGGAAGCGTTGTATACTAATCTCTGTAAGCGTTTCCTAGCCCATAATATCAATACCATCTATCAAACATATATCAAGTTACTACCTTTCTATTTCTAAAATGGTTCGATGCAAATGTTATCATGCGGTGACGCTAAGGGGCTACTTAATTTTCTAATACGCGAATTATTATTGCATCATGAACGAAAATAAAGGGATAAAAGTACTGAAATGTATGAAAGATGGGGATCCACCTTTCATTGGCCGTGAAAAGTGCTAACTTAATGAATTTCTGACCCCTGTGCTTTTCTAGTAGAAGAGACTCCCTCCATAAATTTTATGAAATGTCATATTAAAAAACAATAGTTATCTCACAAGTCATCTAAATTATTCCTTAACGACTAATAGAGGCCTGTTTTTTGTTACTATTTCTAGTTTATCGCTTATTCAAAATAAACTTTTATCACTTTCATGAGATAAAAACTGTCATTTCACTCGTTTTCCTGTAACAAGTTAAAAAACACGGAAATTTTTTCGGCGTCATCCTACAACTACAAAAGTGAAGATAGATATTTTTCTTTCAAATGAGATTTGTCATCCATAATTAGTTTTTCATTAAGGTTATTAGGTTGTTTTAAAAACTTTTGCGCAATATTACGTGCAATACATGCAATTTTTAATAATCCAAAAATAAGTTTTTTAAAAAACGGCTCCACATTTTTTCTGTAAATGATAGAATAGTGCTAAATGCAATCTTTATGGTGGCATAAACGCCATATAATGCCATTTTTTTGGTAGTATTTGGTAGGTCTTTATGGTAGCATAAACGCCATAAACGCGATTCTTTTGTTTATTTCCCCCCAAAAAATTACATTGTATTTTTTAACTTTACTCTCACGTCGTTTCAATTTACATTAGCGGCATTTTGTTAACATTATTATATTTATGAGTACACGTGCTTTAAATAATGTCCTATAAAGTTCCTCGAATACAGTACCTTTTTTTGTTAAAATGAGCTCAAAGTTTCGCATTCTCAGAAACGCTCAAACGACATTCTCTCAAAAAAGACAATAACTTCATATTGCAGTATTCTTATTTGTTTGTTTTTTTCAAAAAACACACCAATGTATTTTTTTGAGATTTCTTTCACATCTTTAATATGCACATTTCCATCAATTTCTAAACACTATTTCATTAGAGACTGGAAGTGCATGAAATGAATTGATATGAAGTTTTTCGAAAATTCAATACTTTTCTGTTAAAAGTGGTTAAAATTTCGCATTCACAATAACGCTTAAACCCCATTTTCTTGAATAAATTCAAATTTTTCTATAAAATATGATTTAATGGGCGGCGTTTTACCCTTTTTTAATATTCATAATGTAATAATTCGGTTCTATTAAAAAACCGAAAAATTCAGAAACTAAAAAAAAAAAACTTTAGGCGGCGCTAGATGGCAGCTGGCAAGAGGATAGGGCAAGTCAGAATAGCTAGTCCAGACCGAAGGAAATTGAAAACTAATACGAGAAAGTCTGCAGCATTCTGTTGAATCACTAGTTAAAAATTCTTTAGATTTGATTTACTTTAATCCTTGTGTCATTTTCCTACAAAATAATTTTGTACTACATAAGATTAATTTGCTAATTAATTGTGTATAGATTGAACTTGGAACTTGGTGTCGTTTACCAAAAAGCTTTTGTGGCTCCTTTAGCATCGCCGTGTATCCCTAGCGCGCGCTAATCTTTCTATTCTTCAATTTAATCATAGAGTACATTGACGTTTAATCAGCTGTTACGGTGTCATCCAATCGGGAGCTTAAACATCACTACCGTAGTGACGTTTAAGCTTCCGATTCGACTGACAGCTGATTTACGTCAACGATTCAATATTTAAATCGAAGTAAACCCTAATAGTTTTGCCAGGACTGCACCAGTCCCCTTAAGTGCAACATTCATTTCTCAGAGGTATGTTCAACGAGCGCTTCCGAGCCGCGCGCGCAGTTGTTCGTAGGTCCTGCTTTGACGCCCTTGGTGTTATTACCTACTGCCACTGAATTGTTAAGGATAACTTGATTGTTTGATATGGACGAGAATTCGTATGGTATGTTCTTTAGAGTGCACTGACGTTTAATATTTTATTCAATATATCGTTACTGTAAAGAAGCCCGGAAATGTGCAGTTTTGCTACCTGCGAAAGGTCTAATAAGCGTCGGGGACGCGGAGTCATACAGCTCTATAGTCATAAGGGTGCGCCACGGCCGCATCCGCTGACTCACCGGGAAATACGGACGCCGCCGTCTCACAACCCGACATTTCAGCGGTACCTGTTCTTGAAACTAGAGGGAGGTTTGAGTTCCAACTGAATTTGGCGGGACTCGAACTGTCATCAACGACGCCGCGAATGGGTGGAAGAAACAGCGTGACGCGCGCTCGCTAATCGCCGAAAACGAAGCGGGGAAGGGCCACGTGACCCGTGAAGCTGAGGAGGTATCTGGAAGACGCAAGCTCGAGCATTCCGATAGAGGAGGCGACAGCGAGTAGAATTGCCCTTTCAAGGTAGGGACGAGGAAGAGTTTCCTTGGCTTATGGGGGGACGCCTGTGAATGCATTACCACATCGCCGCCGCGCTGCCGCCCGAATGAATCATTACCACATGACGGGCCGCCTTTGGGGTCACTAACTCTAGGACGAACGCCACGGGCCATGACTGTGGGTGCCCGACCGCGAGCCCAGGACTGACAACGGGCCGAGGCGTAACAACCGCAGCCGCGAACCGCTTCGCCGATGCCCGGACAGCGTTTCTGGCGACCGTGGACGACATCACGCTGCCTGCCGCTGCAGCCGTCGCCTGACCGCGCCGCCACCGATCGCACTGCGCCAAACACCAGGGTGAAGGGCCGCCGCTACCATTCCTGGGGTCGTGACCGCGGGGAAGGACGACGCCCTGCCTCCAACGATGAACTCTGGCCCGTAAGGCCGAATTTAAGATAAGTTAGTTATAAGATAGTTTTAAGGAATATTTATAGTGGGTGGCTTCACCTAATTGCAAAGGGAACATTAAACCCACCTTTCAAAATCCACGTGTTTTAACGAGAATAAGCCCTATCACGCGTGTCTCCCTTTAAAGAGTCTTCTGACTGAGCAGCCGGGACAACGCTGGATCGACGTAACCAGATACTCAAGTGAGTCGGAGCAGCCCAACAGCGTGTGTGGTTACAAATAGAAAAGTCTACATTTTTGGTTGTATTTTATTTGCGAAAGTATCGCCATGTAATTCTGAAAGGTTTCTTAGTAATTATCTAAATTTAAACGGTGTTATCTTGAATTGCCAGCAATTGCCCAGAATGGTCTTTGCACGATTGTATTATGCAAATATTCTGAAAGAAAATGGCGGAAAACATATTTGGCCGAATTTGCCCTTTTTCGAAATTTTTTTTCAGACGCTTGTACAGTCATTCAACGGGAGCTATTCGAGATCTTGCGTGCGGGTGAACTCTCTCATGCAACAGATTTACGGAATAGAAAAATGATAATGCAGTATGTTTCCCCTAATATTCTTGGAAGTATTCTAGAGGCAGTATTAAGTGAGAAGACACGGAGATTCACAATTACTGACAAATTGAAGGCTTGTAATAGAATGGGTAGACATATTCGCGGCAAGGAACTCAGCATGGGGGGCGACGAAATGTTGTGTGTCAAGGTAGATATGAAAGAGAATGAAAGACAAGAATCTATGTTTGAAGAGAACGAAAAGGCGAAAAGTACAGCGAGATTTCACAGACCCATTAAATTCGAATTTGTGGAAGTGACACCACAAAGGACAAATGTAGAAATAGCTCGTTTAGAAGAAAACATTAAGAATCTTCAAGCAACAAAATTGAATATTGGGGGTGCAGATATCTATGTATATTACAAATTATTGAAATATATGAGAGAAAAGCGTGTAATTTACTTATGTTAAAGTGTCCTCTCAGAAGTTCTTTATGATGCCTCTTCAAAACAAACGAACAATCTGAAACAAATTAATAAAAACCTAGCCGCAAGGAAACTTTTTATGTTGGTGTCTCACACTCAGATTCGTTTCTTCGAGTCCCTTCTTCACATGTCTTACAGACTATATTTTATAAAATGGCGGTTTCGTAAATATGAATAAAATATACTGTAAGATCCGAGGAAAACGCAAATAACTGTCAAATTTCGAAAGAAAATTGAACTTCTTACAGACATCCTAAAACAAGGAAGTGGAACATCGAACGATGGGAACATTGTTCGGCAAGTTTTCCAAAATCTGGAGCAGTATATTAATATCACTGAGATAGATGGAAGTCTCGTTCGCTGTTGTTTTACAAGCATTGAGGAGTGGATATGATGTGACTACGGAAGCTTTCAGAAAAAACGCATTTGAAAGTGCAAAAGTTTGTCAGTTTATACCGATGGGTACTTCACGCCTGTAACAAAGGACAAAATATTAATCCATGGCGCTGATGTCATTAATAAAACGATTGTACCAATAGGACAACTGTCTGATATTTCATTTTGAGTTAGTGTCTCATGAACCTTTAGTAGGAGTAGACATGCAGTATCTCTTAAGTAGTTCCAACATTGATAACCTTATCAAGACTCGATGGCAATAAATTTATTATTATATCTCGTCCCCAAATTACAATGTAATGAAAAATGGCACAAGCAATTATTCATCAAGCACCATTTTCAACACCGTCGGCTTTACCTTTTTCTTGATAATATTTTCTTAAGATGAAGGAAATCAACCACTGTCTGACTTCCTGCACACATGAGCAAAAGCGAACGCCGCATCTT